TTTTGTTCTGGTACTTTGATAGGAATTGCATTGAATCTATAGATTGCTTTGGATAATATAGACATTTAACAATATTAATTCTTCCAATCCATGAGTATGGTATATCCTTCTTTTTATTTGTGTCTTCTTCAATTTTTTTTTTTTTAGCAATATCTTATAGTTTCCTGAGTACAGGTCTTTTACCTCCTTGGTTAAATTTATTCCTAGGTATTTTATTCTTTTTGATGCAAATGTAAATGAGATTGTTTTCTTAATTTCTTTTTCTGATAGTTTGTTATTGGTGTATAAAATGCAACAAATTTCTGAACACTAATTTTGAATCTTGCAACTGTAGGAACTTCATTAGTTCCAATAGTTTTTTGGTGGACTATTAAGGGTTCTCTCTATATAGTATCATGTCATCTGCAAATAATGAGTTTTACTTCTTGCTTTCCAATTTGGATGACTTTTATTTTTTTTCTTGTCTGACTGCTATGAGATAGTTTTCATTTTTAACAGCTACATAGTATCCCATTATCTGGATCTACCATGATTTGTTTCGCTAGGCTCCTACTGATGAATACTTAGATTATTTCCAATCATTTACTATTATAAATTGTGCTGTAATAAACAGCTCATGTGTATATATTTTTTTGTATTTTTACTGGAATATCTTTGGGATACATTCCTAGAAGTGGGATTGCTGGGTCAAAGTATAAATGCATATGTAATTATGTTAAGTATTGTTAAATTCCCCTCCATATGCTTTGAAACATTTTGTATTCTCACCAACAAAATACAAGAATGCTTAATTTCTCACAGCCTTGTCAACCATGTGCATTAACAAACTTAGATGGTTATCAGTCTGATAAGTGACAAATACTATCTTAGTACAGTTTAAATTTGCCTTCCTTTGATTATTGAGCTGAATTGAGAGTTTTTTCATGTATTTAAGGACTATTTGCATATATTCTCTGTGTCTAATATCTCTTGGTCATTTTTGCTACAAAGTGGTTGGTCTTTTACTTCTATATTTTTGAAGCTCTTTATGTATCACAAATATATAATATAGGAATAGTAACCTTTTATTTGTTTTACAAGTTACAAACATTTTTCTGGTTTGTTATTTCTCTTTTCACCTTGCTCATGTTTTTATTTTTGCCAAATGAACATTTTTATGTTGTTAAATGTATTAGTCATTCCCTTATTGCTTCTGAATTTTGAGTCATCATTGGGAAAGGTTTCCCCACTCTACATTTTTGGCTCATGTTTTCTTTTAGTACTTATATGGTTTCTTTCTTTTCTTTCTTTTTTTTTTTTTTACATTTAAATCTCTGAGTCATTTGGACATTATCCAAGTATATGGTGTAAGAAAAGAATACAATTTTATCATTCTCCATATGGCTTTCAAACCAGTTATTGAAAAGTTCATTTTCCTTCACTTACTTGACATAATGTCTTTGACATATACTAAATTTCCACACACAATTACGTGAATTTGTGGATTTTCTATTCTGTTCCCTTGGTCTGCCTGTCTATTTATGTGTCAATACCACACTTTATAAATTGTAGAGATTTTGTAATATGTCTTAATATGTTGGTAGGACAAATCTTCCTTTGTTCCTTTCCTTTCTCAGGGATTTCCTGATTATTCTTTCCTGTTCTTCCAAATAAACTTGATAATCAATTTATTTGGATACAGAAAAATACTTATGGTATTTTATTGGGATTGCATTAAATTTATAAATTGACTTAGAGAAGATTAATATCTTCATTATGTTGAGCCTTCCTATCCAGAAATACTGAGTATCTTCCCATTTCCTCAAGTCTACTTTTGTGTCTTTCAGGATTGTTTTATAATTTTCTTAATGCAGGTATTGGGATATTTCTTATAGTTTATGCTTAGGTGTTTTATTATATTATATTATATTATATTTTTTATTTGTTATTTTTAAGATTTTATTGGGGAATTGGGGGAGGGGAACTGCGTTGGGGAATCGGTGAAGGGGAACAGACAAGTTGCTGNGGCACCCAGCAGTACTCACTTGTCAGAGAGCTTCTCAGAGCCCACGAACAAGCTGCTTCTGAGGAGGCCAGCCCGGGTGCCCAGGAAGGCCATGTCTGCCACACGCTCTGACTCCCTGTGAGGCAGACAGAGCTGGCGTCACCATCACAGTGCAGCAGCAGGTCCAGGAGGAGGCCACAGGGAAACCAGGAAGACCCGAAGGCCTTTTCTAGCAGGTGGCCCCGACTGGGGTGGGGCAGAGGGCAGGCATGCTGGTTGCTCAGGTCAACCTGGCTCCCCCTGGGCAGCACCTCCCCTTGTTAATGGGGTACCCTGGTCTTCTGCCTCTCTGATTTTTTAGATCTAGTTCCTAATTTGTCTATTCAACTTTTGGGGGAGTTTGCTCTGGAAGAGCCAGTTGACTCAGGAAAAAGGATTTTGTCCTTGGACCTAAGAAATAGTAACTTCTCATGACCAATGTATACACAGCACCCAGTTCCAAAGCCCTTTCACATATCTACCTTATTATGAAATGGAAAAGGATGAGGAGCAGACACTATCTACATCCACCTACGGGAAGTCCTAGTGGGCTTCATAACCTTGGCAACAAGATTTGAAAAAAATCCATTAGCTAGCTTGCAGTGTAACTAGTTTTTCTCAGTCTCAAAGCCACTCTATTATGTAGATGCACCAGGTGGCAGTCATTACCTCTTTTTTTGAATTTCAAAAAATTTTATTGAGGTATAATTGATATAGAATTATAAGATATTTAAAGTGTACATTGTGGTGATTTGATATACGTATACATTGTGAAAGGATCCCCCCAATCTAGTTAATGAACTCATCCATCACCTCACAAATTGATCTGTTTTTGTGTCCGTGAGAACATTTAAGTTCTACTCTCTTAGCAAATTTCAGTTACACAATTCAGTGTTATCACTATAGT